AGATTAATGTATTGTATGTATAGTATAGTAACATGACCTCAAATACTGTAAATAATTATACAAACTTTAAAAGTGATTGAATTGTCTTTCTCCTTTGTCCAAAAAAATAACGAACTACCATTTCATACTGATCAATTGGAACTAATTATAAAATTTAAAAATCACTATTATTCGTAGGGAAATTCTATTTTGACCCTCCTAGAATTTAGGGTTAGTGCGGGCCAAAATTATGTTAATGCCGGCCGAGTTTTGTATTAAAAACCCTGGCCGGCATCAACATAATTCTGGCCTGCACTAACCCTAAAATTTCTGAGGGTCATTTTGACCCGGGTCATCCCTTATTGGTATTATTTAACTCACTAAACATCCGAAAAACTTTTAACTTTACCATTTAAAATAGGTTCTTTGAGAGCTATTAATTGAATCAGGGCAGCATCAACCTATAGAATATGCGTGTTTAATTTCTTCAATTCATATTCATGAATAATTAAAAAGTAGAAATTATATAAAATCTGTATACTTTCTTTTGGGCGAGGGACAAAAACACTTGAAGGTATTTGGTATACCTTTTTAGCTTCACATAAACTTTGTACTAAAACGGACAAACGACTTCGAGCTGGACTAAAAGTATCTGCCACGATTCTCTTTCATAATTAAATAATAATTGAAATTAGTGTTAATTATTAGAAATTATAAAAACAATATTGAATAAAAATTGAATACTAACATCTCCAACTTCTTTTTGAAACATTAATGTCATTGTAATATTAGAAATTTGAAATATTCCAGATCGATTTGATAACATCTTCATCCATTGTACAAGTAGTGGAGTTGAGATATTGAAAGGAAGATTTCCAATCACATGTAATCTATTTTCTATATGTAAACTTTATTTAAAAAAAATGGAAATTATTAACTATTTCACCAAATCTAATTAAAAATACCTTGGGATACTTTATTAATTTGTGCAGCTGTCAAAATTTTTTCATGATCTATCTCAAGTACATCGTCCTGAATTACCTATTTTAAAAGATTAAAAATAAAATAAGATAAAATAAAAAATTATAAATCTTATTCAGAATAATAACCACATTGCCATAAATTTTGATAGAGAATTGTAATTTTTTACTTTTAGCGTATTTTTAGAGGCTTCTGATAATTGCTAGAAATAACTTTACAAGTTAATTAAATTTCATCAAATAAATAAAATAACAATACTAATAATTATTGTTTTACTGTGAGAGCGGGTAAAAAACGAGCATCTTTTTCTATGACAATCATATTTGGTACACCCGTTTCTAATATTGATCTTGTTAATAAACCAGGTCCTTGAAATAAGATTTATTTAATTTAGTATAATTGAAAAAAAAATGGGATAAGCATAAAATTATACTACCTGGGCCAACTTCAACAACAAGTAGATTATTAGAATCAATCATCGCACTTTTAACGATCTTATCTTTTCAATAAGAGATATAGTTCTTTATAATTTTTTGCATACATATATATATATATTCGAATTTGAAATTATATATATTTTCGAATTTGAAATTATATATTTTACCTGTAATATTTTTATCCAAAATAAAATTTTGACTCAATTGAGATTGTGCAGTTAAATTATACATCTTTACTAGATCACGAACTGATAATAATCTAGGAAGAATTTTATTCATCTTGAAAACCTTGGAAGAGTAAATTTGACGATATTTAAAAAATTCGTCTTAATTTATGAAAGTTTATTATTACTAATAATCGTTATAATTAAAAATACACATTATCACATGAAATTCTTATGTTCTTATAATAAAAAATTATATTACTTTTTATAAAAAGAAGAATAATGAGTTAAGAATAAAATTTGAGAATATCGTTAAAAAATAAAGGAATAAAATGATGATCTTTCCATTTCGAAATGCTCTGCATCTTATAAAAATAAGTGTCACTAAAAAAAATTAAAGAAAAATATACGCGCTAGAAGACTGTTTGTACTGTTTGTCATTCTCATGTGATAAAAGTAAACTAAAAAGCAATAAGCGTTATACCAGATATTGTCCCATTGACATATATTCGTCAAAATATTAAAGGTCTAAAATATCTATGAAAAATTTCATACTGATCCATCACTCGCTATAAGCAAGAAAATCTTTTTAAATTGTTCTAAAGGTCCCGCCCAAATTATTTAAAAATAAAACAAAAAAGATTCCTCTTTTTCTTTTAACTTTCTTTTGGTTCTTTTGATTCTTTTGGTGCTTCGGTTTTTTTCACTTTCGGTGCATCTGATTCTTTCGCTTTCGGTGCATTTGATTCTTTCGCTTTTGGTGCAGTTGATTCTTTCGCTTTTGGTGCACTTGATTCTTTCGCTTTCGGTGCATCTGTTTTTTTCGGTTCATTTGGGGCTGTTCCTGTGGGTTTGGATGTTTCGTTGGAGCAAACATGGCTTGATTCAATCATTTCTGCTGGGAATGCTTGGAGTAATGCATTTACAGAATGTGGCAAAAGTGGGGAGAAAGGTTTAATAACTCTATAGTTTTGAATCGGTATAGACAACCATAGAACATCAGCTCCAGTACTCGGTTTAACTGAAACTCCTTTAATAAGTATTTTTCCTCCACAAGATATCAATTGAAAAAGGTTTGGGAAATTAGTTGGACTAAGGACAAAGGTAATTTCATTTGTTGATTTAGGATGCATTATAAGACTATTAGCAACTAATGGTCCGATAAGTCCTGTTTCCTCTGTTAAGTGACTTGTGATTGCTGTTAAGGTGAAGTTCACTGTTCCCATGTCTATACCAATATTTGAAGGGTTTTTCATTTGAGCTTTTATTATAATAGCACTGTGATTAGCTATATCAAGGTTACCGATTGTTACGTCTTGTAAACCATTGAATCCATCAACAGTGATATCCTTGCTCATGCTAAGATTAGTTACTGTTTGTTTAAGATCTAATGATTCCACTACTAGATTATTAGTACTAATCGAAAATGTAACTTTAGATTCTTTTAAGAGATCTCCAGAAAACTTCACAAAGCCATTAACATCGGTAACCTTGAATCCAGAATCAAAAGTCATATTCACAACAGGGTTACCACCGGTTTCTGTAGATGGTAACGCTAAAATACCAAGATTTTGTTTTTTATACGAGAGGATCAAACCACCCGGATATTTGATAATATTTCTAAGTGTTCCAGCGTCTTCGATCTTACTAGCTGTATGAGTAATAAAGCTATCAGGTTTTTCATTTGCGATGAATGAAGATTGCATCGAAATTTTACTA